GTATTAATGCAACAAAATTTATTTAACTTGTAAGAGAAATCCTTTGTCAAACAGGAAAAGCACATAATACATGATGAACATTCTTGCAGAACTTTTTTATGTTTCTTCAGAGGTTTGACTGTAAAGGAAGAACTCACAGAAACACCGCTTGGATCCTGAAAGCTTTTTTTTGTTAGCACAAACTAAGATACAATGTAGAAAACTAGCATCTTTGTGTATGAAAGAATTATCAGTCTTCATATGGTTCTTTAAGGTTTTGAGAAGGAACACATGAAAAAACAATAGTACAGAGCCTTAAGCACAAAAGCTTAATCACACCTTTGACCTACAAGATTTTCAAGACAGTTGTAAGCTATAATCATCATTAGACTTGTTTATATTTTTAAGAGTACTTTAGATCCTATTATTAATTAAAAAGGTTTTCTAACTTCACACCTGGGATAGATGCAATGCTTCTTTTCCATGCATCTCTGTTTGAAATTTTCTCTAGGGCTAAAACTGTCTAGCAAGGCAAGATCATGAAAATTCATCACTTTACTGATGGCTCTAATAAGGTTTTTTTTTTTCTTCTAAATAGTCAGCACCTTCTGCCATGATCAAAAAGTAATATCAACTCTGCCACAGATTTCTGTTACATTATTTTCCTATAATTTATTCTTAAAACAACATTTAGGCTTTAATTTTAATTGGAGTTCCTTTCCTTTCTTAATAGGTTTTTCCAGACTAAAAGCAGACAGCATTTTTCCTTTGACAAATGACTGCTGTAGTTCTATCTTTAGCCTCTAAGTACTGAAGTCATGAAATGGAAACCTGCCTAATTCTGTTCAAATAATACTGTGGGGCTTAAGGACAAATGTTAGCTCAATGTGAAGAAATTTTATCAGCATTCTATCAAACCTCATGAAATTCTTCCACATATTTTCCATGGGTTTATAAAACAGATTGATTACTCATGCTGCCTGCATCAGAAAAGGCTGGACACAATTTGCAGGATTTGATTTTTTTTTTTTTCCCTGGTATTTAGCAGCATTTCAATCAACATCCATCTGATCACCGCCACTAAGAGCTCACAGCATCTCTAGTGATAACAATTTCATTGATGCTGCAGCAGAACTTTCATAATGGTTTACTATGGTTTTAAAGAAACATCAAAGCAACATGACACCAGCTACCCCTGACAGCTCATGCAGAACAAAAATTATAGTTCAGTTGTGCATATCCAAATATAATCTGCCTAAGGGTGAACAGTTTGTAAATCAAATAATTTGATTGAGTGTACATGCTTTTATTGTGCAGAATACAGACTTCCTATTCAATTTACCAGGTTTTGTTATACATACAAGTAGGCATGCTCACTGTTCCTTCATCTGAGATGCCACTGAGCAGTGGAACTCATTAACAGCAGCTAGTAACTAACTAATCAAAAAACAGAGAATCTGCCAGCCCAGGTAGAATAGGAAACCAAATTTACACCTGACAAAAGGAGTAATTAGCAAGCGTAAAGACAACAGGAAATATCAGATGGGGCACAGAACACATTAATAATTGATACACTAGAACTCTTTGTTATTCCCTTAGAGGGTTTCATTGTTATAACTGTTAAAGTGCATTTTTTATTAGATTACCCACTAAAAAAAGAAATTAAAAGCATCTTACCTATAACTATTCCAAAACGCTCACCTTTTTCTCCTCCCCTGCCTCAAGACACAGTCTGAAAAGTTTTATCCATCATCTGCCAACTGAGGCGCATCTTTCAAACAGCTGTTTACAAACAAGGAATTGAACTAATAGGGTGTCTCAATTTTCACTTACCATCATCGTTGTTCTGCTTTAAATGGTTTATCATATACTGAATGGGATCATCTGGCTTATGAATTAATAGTTCTTCAAGCATATTCTGAAAATTAATAGGACAAAGTCAGAGGAAAATTTAACATAGCTATGCAGTCATGATATATTGCATTTTTACAGCAATGTTACAATGAGGATCTTAAGAAAATAAATAAGCATTTAGAAACTCTTTAAGGCCCCTTTCACTAACCAAATTGAGATTATGAAACCTATTTTAGATGGTGAAAAACTGAAGTAAAGCACGATTAGAAAATTGCCACTAAAAACAACAACCTATTTGCTTTGGCTTATTTATGATACATACGGACACCAGAATGGTTTGGCTTGAGCAGTCTGGTGTCAATAATGGTTGAGTCAGCATTGATGTAAAAACCATACAAGGAGTTTCAAAACCAGAGTCAACTTAAACTAGTATCTCTGCAGGGCAAGCTAAACCTCTTAAGCACATTCCCACAAGTTTCTGACTAGCCTGACCAGACAAGACCTGCAGAAAACACAAAACCAACAACCAAGCAAAGCCACAAAAGCAGCACATCTCACTTTTGTAACTGTACTAGTCTTCCTCCTACATGAAAAGTATGGGGGGGGAAGCTTAAGCATTTCCTTGAATGTCTATTTTGGAGCCCATTTTCATATTAAATGTTTGATGTTATACATGGCCTTGCTTCAGCTCCCACCGATAGCAGTGGGGATCTTCCGCTGATTTCAGTGAGGATTGTAGCTTCACAGGCAGAGAGAGGAATAACACCAAGAAACACTAACTCCATAGATTTTCTTACAAGACATTTCAGCACAGCCAAGAATTCTGTAATTAAAACTAAACATCAAACAGCAAGTAATATTCTGACTTAGATTATCTACTGAAATGCTCGCACTGGAATAGGACATCTTCTTCTAAAAATCAGTCATAACACTTTAATATTTGCAAGTAAATTCCATAAAGTCTATACATTCCATAGAATTTTATATTCTAACCAATTGATTGCCTTTTATCTGAGTGGCCTATTTTCCTTTTCTTCTTCATCCACTTCATTAGAATAATTAAAACATTCAATTCTGTTTATAATTAAAACATTCAATTCTGTTTCACATGCAAGTTCTGATGCTTCAAGGTCTGGGTGGTACATAGCATAAAGTATAAAATTTGTATTTTTATCGGAAGTTTGTTAAAAATTACTTCCCAGCAACATTTATTTAAACTAAAAAAATCTGAATTTGGCACAACAATTATCAGCAGCTTTAAAAATAAGAAACCTAAGAAAATCTGGTCTTACTATGATTCAGAATTGCTCAGGCTGACAGCGATTGATACTTTCACTATTTCATGCCCTAGTCCTACCAGCACTTACATGCATGCTTCATTTTATTCAGTTCTGCTAATCTAAGTTTAATTTTACAGAAATAGTTTGGTCAATCTCTGGGGGAGGTTAACGTTTTGGATGTCAGGTTTTAGGTTTCACATTTGGGGTTTTGTAAATGTTTAAGTTTAGGACAATAATTTCAAGCTGTGTTTGTTTGTACAGCTGCTACAACATAATTGAAGGATGAAAAGAAAACAAGATGCTGAGTAAATCCCACTAGCGTTTTATGTAATATGAGGTCCTGCAGCTGGATTCAATGCCTCATGGCATCCAAAGCACAGTATTTCCACAAAAAACCCAGAAATATTATGCCACAGCAGTCGTACTAAATGGCCTCGAGTTACATGAAAAAAAGAAAAGAGGGGGAAAAAGAATAGGAAAGAAGAATAAGCCTTTGTGTGTTTTCTAGTGAGATTTGAAAAAGTAAAAAGGCCTTATAACATAGACAGGGTTATGAGTTCGCAGCTGTGCAGGGGGCGAGTCTCTCTGACAAGTTCTCGTACCAGAACAGCACCAGAATATGTAGGCTCTTGTGCAAGCCTCCCCGTGCTCGACCAAAGGGCTTTTTCTAAACTTATGGAACAAAACATACCTTTCTCTAAGGCAGGGAAACCAATCTTGCTATTTACTGAAATCACAACGATGTTAGAAGTGTACTTCTTTATTTTTGACACACAGCTCCACAGAAAAGCCACAACAGCAGTAGGAAAGCAGGGAGAAACAGTTTTAAACGGACATCGCCGATAAGCGGCTGCCACGCCTCACCTCAGCGGCCCCTCTCTCAGGAAGGGCAAACCCTTCATCTCGGGTTTTCCCGCGCTTGATTTCTTACTGCCTCCTCCTCCTCCCTGTCCTGCCAAGCCTGCATTGATTTCACGCACTCAACCCTTTTCTTCCACAGGCTGCCGCTTTTTTCCGCAAAAAAAAAATGACACGCGCGAACCCTAGCAACCGCCAGGCTATTCTTAAAATAAGTTAATTAATAAGACAGCCCTCAGCCGGTGCACCTTCCCTCACACGGGGACACCCGCCCGCGCCTTTCCACAGGAGCCGGCTGCCGACCGCTGGGGGAAATGGCCGCGGCGCTGCGCCGCCGCCG